AGGAGTGGAGTCCTTGGAGCATCCCCCAGATAGGTCACTCCACAATGGGGCCTCATGAGTGGACAAGTGGCTTTGAGGAGTACACTCTGAGCAGTGGAAGAAACAGCCCTTCGGAATGATTCTGAATCCTCGGGTGTTCTCTACTCCAGAGCTCCGACCTATTTCTTTGGACAGACATTAACATTCAGGGTTGAAACAGTGGGGCAGCCAGACCGCGGAGGCAGTATCAGAGTGTGTGCAGAGAAGCACAGCGGATGCGGCTCTCTGCAGCAGGACCAGGCGGTGTGCATCAGTACCAGTGGTGCAGTTTTTGTAAATGGAAAAGAAATGACCAACCAGTTGCCTGCAGTTACTTCTGGATCTGCTGTCACGTTTGACATCGAAACTGTGACTCTTGGAACCACCAATAATAATGAAGGCAGAAACTTTAAGCCCCAAGTAACTACTAGCTTGAATAACAGAGAAGCGGTTTTTGATTGCTTAGATGATCAGTCTTGTAGTTCTCTTTACTCTGGATGCTCGTTTTTCTATCCTGGATGGAAAGTGTTAGTGTTGTAGAGTTTTATATGCTTGGCTTCAGTTTGCAAAGTTACCATCAAGGTCTTCAGCTTAGCGCAGTTGTAACTGATTAAAGAAAAGTTAAATTCGTCTCTCAGGCCTTTGGAAATTGAAGATGTTTACTGGATTCATTTTGTAACACAGTATTTTAGCAATAAGAGAATTGAACGGTGTGGACAAAAAGTAATTCTGTCGATTTTGTTTTTAGCACATTGTTGATTAAAATATCATTATAATGAAAATCAAATTAGCTTTAAAAGTCTAGGAAGACACAAAAAAGTCCTATACTCCTCTACGGTAGTTTTTCTTACACTTGGCTATTAGAATAGAAGAACTTAATGTACCGGTATTTTATTAAATCTCCATCAGGATTGAAGTTCACATAAAACTTTGGAATAATATTTCAACATAGGATCTCACTAGACAGATAGGCACAGGGGAACAACACCAGAGGAAACTTGGTAGATTGTGAACACAGATACTGTTTCCAGGAGAAAGAACCACAAACAGATTTTGCTTTCTTCTTATTATTTTTAAGTTTTACAAAGTTTCTAGAATATGTACTACTTTCATTATCACACACCCACAAATAATTTATTCCTGTTCATTTGTAGCTTGTATTCTGTGCAAGTCAAGTTTACTGCATGAAAAAGACCATGAATCCAAGCATATTTAACAAACACAGTGTGCATTTCAAACCAAAGGTGCACTGCGGAAAGCACAAAACAAAAGAGAGTTCCTTCACATTTCAGTAGCTTAGGTTAGTTTCTAACATGGCGAGAAATCACTTTTGTTATTAAGTGAGAGTGAAAAACTACTACCAGAGCAGCTCAGAGTGAAAAGAACAAGCAAACCAAAGGCTGAATGGTGCACGGGTTTTATTTTACTTTACTCTTTCTTTCCTTCTTTCTTTCTTTCTTTCTCTTCCTTTCTTTTTCTTTCTTTCTTCTTTCTTTCTTCTGTACCTCACTGCTCTTAAGTTTTTTTAATGCATGCTTGCAGTACCTAATGTTCACACTCTTAATTCTCTCTTTCATTCCCTCCCCCTACCTTCCCTCCCCCTCTCTCCATTTCTTGATCCTCTTCCCATTTGAGAAAGAGCTATCTCTCTAGTCCCTGTTATCTACCTTTTATTCTGATCTTTATTTATATTTGTGTGATATTTAAGCTTGTCTGTCTGATTTATTTCACTTAACATTATGGTCTCAAGGAACATCCATTTTCCTACAAATGACTCATGTTTATCTTTCTTTATGGCAGAGTAGTACCCCATTGTGTGTAAATGCCACATTTTCTTTATCTCTGTTGATGGACATACAGGCTGCTCCCAAGATTTAGCTATTTTGAATTGTGCTTCTATACACATGGATATACACGTATCATGTAATATGATGTTTTCAGGTCTTTTGAGACAATACCTGGAAGGGGAATAGCTGGGTCAAGCAGAGTTTGTAGTTTTAGTTTCCTGAAGACTCCCCATACCGACCTCCACAGTGGTTGCACCGGTTTACATTTCAACCAACAGAGTAGAAGGCATCTTTTCTCCTTGCAGCACTTGTTATTATTTGATTTCTTGATGATAGCCATTCTGTCTGGGGTAAGATGGAATCTCAGTGTTGTTTGAATTTGTATTTCTCAACTGGCCAGAGATGTTGAACATCTCTTCCTGCTGGAAGAGAAAACTGGTAAAACCCTTGAAGTTATAGCCATAGGCAAGGACTTTCTGAATGGAATCCTGGTTTCACAGGAAATAGTAAGAAGAATCAACAAATAAGATTGTATCAAATTAAAAAGCAGCACAGCAAAAGAAACAACCAACAGAGTGAGGAGACAACCTCGAGAATGGGGAACAAATTTTGCCAGCTATTCTTCATTTAGACCATATAAAGAACTCAAAAAAATTAGACCTGCCCAAAATAAAACACCCAATCAAAAACGGGCAAGTGAAATGAATAGACACATCACAGAAGAATAGTACAAATGGCCAATAAATATTTCTTTTCTTTTTCATTAAGAAAATAATTATGCATATTTATGGGTTACCGTGTGATACTTTGATACATGTATTCAATGTGCACTCATCAAGGTAATCAGCATTTTCATCTTATCATTATTTTATGTTTAGACCGTTGAGCTCTCTTTTAGTTCCTTATAAAATATATACCAGGTCAATATAGCCCCCTACTGTGCTGATTTCTTTTCTTTTCTGGTACTGAAGATGAAACTCAGGGGGGCTTTACCACTGAGTAACATCTCCAGTCCTTTTTTTTTTTGAGTCAGGCTCTTCCCAAATTGCCCAGGATGGGATCAAACTTGCAGTGCCCCTGCTTCAGCCTCCAGAGGGGCTGGGATTGCAGATGTGCGCCAGCAAGCCCAGTGCTGTCTATAAAAGAAGTTTTTGTGTCTTGAGGCAAGTAGGCTTTTGGTACACATACACTTGATGGAAATGTGATTAGCGGGTCCTTAAATTAGGTCTGAGGAAGCAGAATAAGGATTCCTGGTCCAGCGACATGGAATTCACATCACTGTTAAGGATAATTCTGTGGAGAAATGGGCACCTTGGAGCTCTGAGCAGAAGCCCACTTTTGGAGCAGCTAGGGCAAGAGGGCACCGGCCAGGCAAGAGGCCTTGGGTAAGCCCAAGCCCTAGCGAGCTGATTACAGCAGGGATTCAGGTCAGGATCACAGTGGAAGAGCAGGTGCCAGAGAGGAGAGTAAAGCGGAAGCCCAGGGTAAACTGTAGAGTGAATGAGGAAAAGACCACAAAGGGGAGACTGGAAGCTGATTCCAGGTGGTTTGACCTCAGCTCTCTCTTTGCCCCGCTGAGAGCGCTGGGCCTCGCACATCGACACTCCATTGAGAGAACTAAGACTCTGCTGCTGAGATTCGCCATAAGTGGTTTCCGCCAGTCACTCTGGGGAAGATATACTGTTCATCAGCTCGACCTCTCTTCCAGAATGGAGTTTTGTTGGGTTAGAGGGCAGTGCGAAGAGATAGACATCACCCATGGTAACGGTACTGTTGCTGGCCTGCCTGAACCCCGTTCTGCATGCTGAGAGAGCTGGCCGCGAAGGGTTCACGCCGTGCCCTTCCGTGGAGGACTGTCCTCAACTGTGGCTCCTCCTGGGAGCTCAGACTCGGCCCCCGGGTGAGGCTATCGGTCAGTGGCTGACGGACAAAGGTTGGCAAAAGGCTGGCGTCTCTCCCTGCAGGACCGCCCGAGACCCCGCCCTGCGTGGCTCCTCCCCAGCTCCGCCCTGCTTCCCTCACTACCAGCCCTGCGCCTGGTCCAGGGACCCGGCTCTGATGCACGGCTCCCGTGATGTTCCCTGCCTTGGGTCCTGCTTCCAGGAAACTCAGCGTAAGTCGGAGGTGTGGTTCGGGTGGTCAGCAAGGAGGCCACAGCTGGACAGGGGCCAGGAAGGGGGAAACTGAGGGACTGATAGTAGCACACAGGACGAGGAACAGGTATAGGAAGATGGGGGTGAAGGGAGAAACGGCTGTAAGAGGAGGAGGTTGCAGCCAGACAAAGAGATGTTGGAGGAAAACAAAAGGGTCCAGGGCACATGCAGGGTGGCATAAAGGATACAGTCTCTAGGGGGGCAAGGTCTCCAGACTGAGAGGCCGCCAGGCCGGCTGTGCTGTCCCTGGGTCCACTTGAGGACCTCGATGACAATGTCCAGATTTGGGTTGGAGATGAAAGCTATGGGCCAGCCAACAGGTCCTTGGTGACCACAGGGTGACCAGGAGGCCCATGGATGACGAAGAGAAGGCCAAGAAGGTGGCAGAGCCAGGCTGCGTGACTCTCGAGTCAGCAGGGATTTTTATAAAAGGATGAAGGAGAAACCAATGAGCCAAACTTTGCAACCAAAGCCAGTCCGACCTTCAAAGCCCTCGGCAGGCGCTCCCTAGCCCAAATCGGCAGGGGGCAGTGTGCCCAGGGCAAGGACGCCCACTCCCCCCCCCCCCCCCCCCTGCCTCATGTGACAGCTAAGGCCTAGGTACTGACAGGTGAAGGTTAGAAATCTGGACCTAGGAAGCCCTGTCTCTCTTGTTCCCCAGGCTTCATAGAACAGGTTATAATAGATATTTATTGGGTGAATGGCTGAAACCATCAATTGATTTCCATTTCGTAATGGCTCAGCGAAGGCCACCGGCCCGGTAGCAAAGGGTACAAGCTCTGCAGACACAAGATCTGGATTTCCACCCAGGTTCTGAGCCCGAGCTTGGCTGTGCATGAGGCTGCGGAGAGAAAGAGGCAGTGGCCAAGCCACGGTGCGCGAGGCAAACCCCGGGCTCGACAGCTGGAGAGGCCGCGGGGCGTGGACCGAGGCAAGGGAGGGCGGGGGCCGTCTCACCTGGCCCGGCCGGGGCGGAGTCTCCTCCGCGGAGTCCGCGGGTCCCCGGAGGCCCAGCGACGCCACGCGCGCTGCCCACGGCGCCATGGCGAGCGCAGCCCGGGCCCCGAGGCCGTGGCCCCCGCTCGGGCTCCTGCTCCCGGCCGCGGCGCTGCTCGGGACGCTCGGGCCACAGGTGAGCAAGGCAGGCGGGAGCCTGCAGGGCGGGCGGCCGGGAGGAGGGGCGCGGCCTCAACGCCTCTGGGATCCTGGCGTCCTTTAGTCGGGATCAGTTTAGGACCCTTGGCTGAGAAATGCCAGTTTTACACTCTCAAACGCTTCCCAGCGCGACCCGCCCGCCCGTGACTGGACCCCAGGGTCGGAGCCTCCGGTGTTGGGCTCTGGCACGACCCTGCTGGGCGCCAGGCAGCCCGGTCCTTCAGAAATGCTGCCTGCAGGCCCAGGTGGCGGCGTCCAGAATCCCGTGTGGAGCCTGAGGCCCCGGGGCTACAGAGTTGGGCACCTCCACCCTCTTCCCAGCTTGGGCCCCCTGTAGTCGCCAAGCGATAACGAAGCCCGGTGAGGCCAGATCTGGTGTTTCCAGAAAAATTAGAAAGGAGGACAATTTGAAAATCTGGGGGCCGGGGATGTAGCTCAGTGGTGCCACGCCTCCCTGCCAAGCACAAGGTCCTGAGTTCGATCCCCAGTACCAGAAAGAAAGAAAGTCTGGGTTTTTAAAAAGTGAAACCTTCCAATAAAATCAGGAGCTAATTAACAAATTTGTAAACACTGTTTTGGTCAGACAAAAACCAGTTGTAGGCAGCTTGGTCTGTGGCCTCATCGCTAGACCATTCTTCCTGCCGGTTTACAGGTGGCAAGTGAAGTTCAGAAAAGAGAGGGGCCGGAGGGAAATTCCCTCGCTCTCCACCAAACACCACTGGCTTGGCCTCAAACCTGAGGGTCCTAAAGCAAGATGTGGCCTTTGTGGGGTGCGGCCGGGCCACCCGGATGTTAGGGTTCCTGCTGGGAGCCTAGCCTCACCCTGTTTGCTTAAGGAGGGCTGCAGCAGGTGAGCTGGCCCAGCAGGAGCCGGATGTAGGGTGGCTCAGACCCTCCTCCCTCGGCCACCCCCAGCTGTGGCTCAGGGGACCTACTTGAGCTGGCACCAAAAGCAGCTGGGCCAGTTTGGGAAGGCAGAAAAGGTCATCCCCAAAGAGGCAGACATGCCGCAAAGGAGAAAGCCTTGTGCTGGAGCTGAGCGATGGTGGTTCAAGTCCCGGTTGTACCATTTACAGTCCGAGGGGCTGTAGGCCAGTTCTGTAATCTTCCTGAGCCTCAGTCTTCCTAGTTCCAATATCACAGGGAGGCTGGAAGGTCAGTGAAGCCTTTTTGTAAAAACCTTTGGGGGGAAGGAAAGGAATTGAGGCGTGAAGGAAGGGAGTGGGGTGGTGGGGAAGATCAGGAGGTGGTGGGGAGCCAGCTGCTTCTCCAGTTACCCATCTTTCCCTTCTGTGTCCCCTCCTGGAGAAGAGGAGTCACGCCAGCCCTGCTTGGGTAGGAGAGAGGGGTGGCTCCGCCTGGAAATTGCCGAGAATCTGACACTTTCCCAGCGCAGGTCCAGACTTTCAGGCCCGAGAGCCTCCTGCTGGTGTCCACCCTGGATGGAAGTCTCCATGCTGTGAGCAAGCAGACCGGGGACTTGAAGTGGACACTGAAGGATGGTGAGAAGGGGTGGGGTGGCCATTTCTCTCCATTGGGCCCCTCTTTGAAGGGGAGACAGTTTGCACATGGAGAATAAGAATGTGGGCAATAGACTCCAATGAGCCACTTACTAGCCGTGTGGACTTGGGAAATTCACTTCGCCTCTCTGAGGCTCCAAATCCTCACCTATATCACGGGGCAAAGGGTAATGACCCTACCTGACGGAGTCCCTGGGAGGATGACCGTGTGCGCTGTTAAACAATGAGCTCAGTGTCGGGCACGCAGCAAGAACTCAGTGACTTGTGGGCCTTGCTCTTCACTGCGGCCAGAGGGGACTCATGCTTCATGCTTATGTCCCTGCAGATCCCACCATCCAAGGACCAATGTACGTCACCGAGTAAGTGAGCCTGGGGTCTTCCAGGAAGGGGATGCTGGGAGATGGGAGCCATCCTTATCTGGAGGCTTGGGGGAGGGGACATGGTGGAAGTAAGAGAGGAGAATTGGGTCTGGGTGTGATTTGGGGGAGCATCTTGGAGCCCCAAGGTCTCTCCCACAAGGATGGCCCCCGGATAGAGGAGAAGTTGGAGGCAATGCACCCAACCTTCTGTTTTCCTCTCCGCTCCACAGAACAGCCTTTCTCTCAGACCCAGCTGATGGCAGCCTGTACATCTTGGGGGCCCAGAAGCAACAGGGCTTAATGGTGTGTTTCCTACAGTGTCTGGGGATGGATGAGGAGCCGGCCTCCATCTACAGGAAGCCGAGGGGTGGAGGGCAGTGTGGTCCAAATGTGGGTGTCTCGGAGGATATGAGTCAGAGCTCTGAGCTTTATGGGATAGCAAGGTGGCTGGCTGCGTCTGCAGAGAAGACTCTAGGACTTAGGGTATCAAGGAGCTTCTCCAAACCCTGGGCATTTTCAAGGGACAGCGATGTATCAGTTAGCTTTTACTAAATAACAAGTTGCCCCCCAAAGACTTGGAAGCCATGCAACTCAACATCTGGTGGGATGACTAAGCTCAGCAGGGTAACTCTTCTGCGGTCCTCAGTTGGTGGCTTACGCTCCTGCGGTCGGCCACTGGTCACAAGGACAGCTCTGATTCTGCAAGTTGCTCCGGGCTTGGCTGGCAATGGGGCTTCCGTCCCCTGGTCTCACCCTGGGCCCCAAACTCGACAGGAAGCCAGACGGCAGGGCTCCCACTTACATAATCCAGACAAATCCAACTCCAGGGAGAGAATCAGTCTAACTCCAGGACAGAGAAGGGTGGAGGGCGGCTCTCCACTCATCAAGACTGGATCAGGGTCTCCTTCACCCTGGCACAGCTCCTTAACCTCTCTGAGTCTTTTGTGGACATTGGCAGTTTTGAAATCTCTGTGTGTGTGTTTGACAGAGGCTGTCAGGCAGGGATCAAGTGGATGTGTGACAGCTTGGCACTGAGTGTGGGATTTTCTGCCGTTCACAGAGAGGCTCGATGGTTAAGGATGCTGGTTCCAAAGCCTGTGTACCTGGATTCGAAACTTGGCTCTGCCACGTGCTGGCTATGTGACATTAGCCAATGCACTCAGTCTCCCTAAGCTCTAGTTTCCTCACCTGGAAAGCAGAAACGATAATAATAGTGCCTAATGAAGAGGTGAGCCTTCACACAGTGAGTGCCATGTGTGTTCTTACTTTTCTTACTCCTTTCTGAACCTTTTCCTTTAGAAACTGCCATTTACCATCCCAGAGCTGGTTCACACCTCTCCCTGCCGCAGCTCCGATGGGGTATTCTACACAGGTGAGCATCTCTCCAGCCTGAGGCAGCCAAGGGTAGCCAACAAGGATGGGGCCTGGGTTGTGAGAGGCCAGCCCGGCACAGGAGCACAGGATGCACGCCCTCTCCCAAGCCAGCTCCATTTCCGCAGGCCGGAAGCAGGATACCTGGTTTGTAGTAGATCCCGAGTCAGGGGAGACTCAGATGACACTGACCACAGAGGGGCTGTCTGCCCCCCGCCTCTACATCGGCCGAACACGTGAGTCCAGCCGCAGCTGCCCCTCCTGCTGGGAAGCATCCCTTTTGCTCTGCCCAGACCTGGCCGTTGCTATCCATATCGAATCAGGCCAATCAATCTATCAGGCATCAACAAACACTTTACTGAGCACTGAATGAAGAGCTGGGGGTACAGGCCTGGTCTCTGCCACCCCATAAAATGAACAGCCCCTGGGTGGGGTGAGGAAAGCATCACGTGAGCATTCCGGTGACCTTGCTTCTGGGATCCCCAGAGTACACGGTCACCATGCAAGACCCAAAAACCCCAGCCCAGCGCCGGAACACCACATACCGCCGCTTCTCAGCACTCCCCTCAGACGGCTCACCTGGGAAATGTGAGTGCCACCTTCCTCCGGCCCCACCGTGGAGCAAGATACCAAATGCAGGGAGCCCTGAGTGGCACCCATAGCCAAGTCCCCTTCCAAGCTGTCTAACCCCTACACCCCAAATGACACACTCCTGACAGATGACCCCAAGTGACCCCCAAAATCCAGGCTCCCCGTCATTTCCCTGAGCAATGCCTCACCACCCTAACCCCTCCATGCTTCAGTGACTCCAGCGAGGTAGCCTTAGGTGACTCCCATATCCTGTGACCCTAAGCAACCCTTACATGGTGAGTGACCTGCACAGCTGACCCTGAGGACCTCGTCCCATACTGACGCCCGACCATCCCCCTGGCATTATGCCCCTCCTACCCAGCCACCTGGGTGCCTGGCGAGTGCCCCTGGCAGAAAACCCCCAAATCCTGACTCTGCCGTTCTGCATGAGACCTCACTCAGGTAACCCAGATGCTTTACAAATGACACTCCAGGGCCCCAAACTGGCCACGCTCCAAGTGACCCCATGTGACTCACATGGCCACTCCGGTGCCCTACCCTGGGTGAACATCCATCTTCCCATGACCACAGCCACGTCCTTCGGTCTGACCCACACGAGGCTGAGTCATCTGTGGGTGACCCTGACGGGTCCCACATGCTTCAAGCGACCCCATGACCTCTGACTGACTTTCCTTTGGCCCCACCTGACCCCCATACACCTGCATGACCTTCCGCAAAGATGCTCCCAGGTGCCTCCCGTGAGCTCTCTGCTGCCTCCCCCGCTGTCTCTCCTGGCAGATGTGAGCTACTTGGCATCCTGCGGGATGGGCCTGCTGCTGAGCGTGGACCCGGGAAGCGGGGCGGTTCTGTGGACACAGGACCTGGGCATGCCTGTGACAGGTGTCTACACCTGGCACCAGGACAGCCTGCGCCAGCTGCCTCATCTCACGCTGGCTCGGGACACCTTGCATTTCCTCGCTCTCCGCTGGGGCCACATCCGCCTGCCTGCCTTAGGCTCCCAGGACACAGCCACTTACTGCTCTGCTTCAGACACCCAGCTCCTGTAAGTGTCCCTTGCTGGAGCCCAGGGAGGGAGCTCTTTGAGGCTGTCAGTGGAGCAGAAATCTTACATTATTACTTAAAACTTTGGGGCATTTTCTCCCAGATCTAAGGAGAATCCACTGGACATTTTTAAACAAAGAGTGATTTGATCAGATTTTCACTTCAGCCAGTTCATTTGGTTTGCAATGTGAAGAATATCTGAGAGATGAAAGGGAAGCACCTTAGAAATGGTCACCTATAGAATACTGCATTCATTCAGGCAAAAGTGATACTTCGGACTAGAGTAGAAAAACTAGAGACGGAAATAAGAGGGTAACAGATATTAAGAGGGAAACTTAGCTAGAATTCGGGAGTTTGGTTGTTGTGAGAAGGAAGAGGATCCACTCAGCTTTCTAAAAGCACATGGGCATGGCCGTCCTTTGAAGTAAGGAGCACTAGAAGAGGAGGGGAACAAAACAGGAAGACAAGAAGTGATGAGTGCAGACTTAGAAAGCTGAGATCTTGAAAGAAGTCTGGGCTTGCCACCGAAATTGCGAATAGAGAGTTTGTACCAGTTATTTTTTGCAGCATAACAAAAAATCCCAAAACTTAGAACTTAAAAACAGCAAACATTTACTCTTGGTTTTTTTTTTGGTACTGGGGATCAAACTTGGAACCTTGAGCTTGCAAGGCAGACAGCGAAACCACTGAGCTAAATCCCCGGCAAACATTTTACTCTTTTTAAGATTCTGTTGGCTGGTGGGTGTTGTGAGCCAGTGATCCAGCCTGGCCTCACCCAACTCATAGTTGGCAGGCTCTTTGGCCTATGATGTGTCAAATAGGATGGTTCGTTTCTATTCAGCATGATCTCTCATCCTGTATTGGAGACTGTGCTTCCTCATAAATGGTGGCCTCAGGGTGCCACAGAGCAACACCAGATGGCAAGCCCCAGTGCCCACGCACATTTAAGATTCCGCTTGTATTTTATTTGCTGTTGATACAGTTAAAGCAAGTCACATAGCCAAGGCCAGAGGCAACATGAAATGCGATCACACAGGACACGAATATGGAGGTCACTGGAAACTCCTCACCCTCAGCACTCATCCTCTTATTGTTTTTCTTTTCCCCTTTAGGATGACACTGTATGTGGGAAAAGATGAGGCTGGCTTCTATGTCTCTAAGGCCTTGGTCCACACGGGGGTGGCCCTCGTGGTGAGAAATTGTCTCGGAATGGACTAGAAGGAGGGATGGAAGAGGAGAGGTGCCTCCTTCATCCATGGCTCCTCATCTTCTGCCACAGCCTCGTGGACTGACCCTGCCCCCCATGGATGGCCCCACCACTGATGAGGTGACACTGCAAGTCTCCGGGGAGCGAGAGGGCTCACCCAGCACTGCGGTCAGATACCCCTCAGGCAGCGTGGCCCTCCCCAGCCAGTGGCTGCTCATTGGTAAGGTCTTCCGGCTCAACTTTGAAACAGACAGAGATAAAGGAGCTATGAGCCATTTCTGAGTGGAAGACTGAGATCTTCAGCCCTCTGACTCTTTTCTATCCCTGTCCGCTAGGACACCACGAGCCACCCCCAGTGCTGCACACCACCATGCTGAGGGTCCATCCCTCCCCAGGGAGCGAGACTGCCAAGACAAGGCCTTCAGAGGGCATCCATGCTTTGGCTCCTTTCTTGGGGGTCAGTACTAGAGGGGCAGAGGGCCTGGGGGGCACCAGACAGGTGGGCAGCCCTTGGACCTTTGCCTAAAGCTCCTGGAAGTACTATTTCATGGAGTGTCAGTTGACCTCATGTAGTTTCCCATAAGACAAATATTGTGTTGTTACTGCCGGAAGTGTTAGAAGTGTTTAAGAGATATCATGAAGCATGGTTCACGGTTTTTTCTTTATTCTTCCTCAGTGTAAACATTGTAAAATACTGTGTTCATCAAGTGAGAAATTGAAAACCGAAAAAATATAAAATCACGTTCTCCTGGGAGAAGGTTGGATAAGAAGCATTAATAAGTAGTTCAAGGTCAGAAGGAAGAGCTGAATTGGAGCAATAATTTTCAAATCTAGCTGTGCATGAGAATCACCTAAGACACAAAATTCCTGTCTCTGGAGGTGGAGATGTATATTTTTAGTAACACCTTATGAATATTTGTTTACTTTGCAGTACTGGGGATTGAACCCAGGACCTTTACGATGAGCTACATCCCCAGCATTTTTATGTTTTTATTTTGTGGTACTGGGGATTGAACCCTGAGTCCTTCCCCTGAGCTATATCTCAAGCCCTTTTTCATTCTGTTTTTGTTTTTAATTTTTGAGACGGGGTTTTGCTAAGTCACTGTTACCCAGGCAGGGCTTGAACTTACAATTCTCCTGCCTCAGCCTACCAGAGTGCTGGAATTACCAGCATATACCACCTCACCCAGATAGGTCAGTAATTTTTTTTTTTTTGTACCGGGGATCGAACTCGGGTCCTTTCGATTGCAAGGCAGGCAGCAGAACCACTGAGCTAAATCCCCAGCCCAATTGTATTTCTTTTTTAATGATTATCAAGGAGATACTGATCACCTGCTAGGTTCGGCAAATCACTTTCAGGCCACCATGTCGTTTCAGCACCACGGAGAGTGCCACCTCTCCCACTATACCCAGACCACTTGCTGCCCCTTCTTTGGCTAAGCCTTAGCGAGGGAGAAGGGTTGGGGGTTCCACGGCGGGTGGCGTACCAAGAGTGAGAGCCTCTTTGTCCTCAGGTCCTGAGCCTGAGCCAGGAGGGACCTTGGGACCCAGAGCTGCATCCTGAAGAGAAAATTCCAGTCTCTTCTCCAAGGCTGGGATACCAAGACCTGCTGGCAGCTGTCCTCACTGCGCTCCTCCTGGGAGGCTGGATTCTCTTCCTCATGAGGCAGGTGAGCCGTCACCTTGACCTCAGCTCCATCTTAGGGCTTTCCTACAGAGCTCTGCTCCTGCTCTCTCATACGGTGCAGGAGCTCTCTCATCACCCTGCTCCAGCTGCCCACTGGCTTCCTCCCAGAATGTCCCTGAGCCCCTGTCCCTGTGCGTGCTAAGCCCCTACTCCAGTGCAAGGCCATCGCAGACACGGCAGCCTGGCTGGGGCTAAGCTCTCTTAAGCTCTCCCTTCTCAACAACAGCAGCTGGTGGAGAAGGAGCAGCAGATTTCCCAGGCACCTGCAGGCCCTCCTGACGCCTCACAGGACACTCAGGCCCAGGCCTCTGAGGCCACCTCACAGGGCCAGAAGAGGCTTCAGAGCCCCTCAGAACAAGCCTTGCCATCCTCTGACCCTGAAGGTGAGTCAGCAAGTCAAGGTCAAAAAGGGGTCAGAGGAAAGGAGGGGCGGGTTTAACCTAATTGCAGTCAGTTTATTAGGAGCCACCATCATGGGTTGCTGAGCCGAAATAAGATAAGAGGGTGTTTTGATGGTGTTGTAGAGTTGAGCACTCTATTTTTTTTTTTGAGACAGGGTCTCACAATATAGTTCAGGCTGGCCTTGACTTCACTATGTGGCCCAGGATAGCCTCAAACTCACAGTGATCCTCCTGCTTCAGCTTCCCAAGTGCTGAAATTACAGGTGTGGGTAACCATGCTTGATCAGTTGAGCACTCTAGAAGTGTCTTCTCTCACTGCTTTATTGTTGTTATTCTCAAGGACTCTGGATGTAGGAAGAATTGGGCGTAGATTGAACTCAACTATTTTTTAACTTTGACAAGTTACTGAACTTCTGAACTTCAGTTTTCTCATCCGTAAATGGGAATAATAACATCCATCACCTCAGTGGGAGAGGTTACCATCACCATCATCAAATCAAACCTAGGTGATGTTATTGGAACTTATGTTGCAATAATATCGTATTCAGTTAAAATAAGAGTAAATTTCCGGGCCCAGGATTTGGCTCAGTGATTTCACTGCCTGCTGCGCAAATGGAAGGATCTGGGTTCGATCCCTGGCACCAAAAAAAAAAAGTAAATTTTCTAGCTAAAATTGTTTAAATCTGTCCTCTTTCCTCACCTTAGTCCTGTCCAGCACCGTCTGGTGCCCAGCGGATGCTCCCGGGGCCTGTGGGCCTGGGTCAGGGAGCCTGGGCTCCTGTTCCTAGGCTCTGGCGGGGCCTTGCTGCTGGTCTCCGTGTAGACAGGAGCTGGCGCCTCCTGGTTGCTGCCTCGCCCACTTCCGCACACCGTGGCCCCTGCTGTCGGCGCCTGGCTTGATGCTTCAGTACTGCCCCTGTGCTCACCTGGGTCTCTGCCAGGCCTCTGCTAAGAGGAAAATGGCTCCCTGCCTTGCGGTATTTTTTGCTTTGCTTTGCTTTGCTTTGCTTTGTTTGTTCCGATGGGGTCAAACCTGGGCCTTTGCACATGCAGAGCTCGCATTGCACCCCGAACCACATCCCCCAAACCAAGGTCAGGTCCCGGGGGCAGGGTGTACAGCAGAGCTGCCTGGGCCCCAGGGTGTTGTAGTTCCTGTCATTCTACTGGCTCACAATGGGTCCAACCAACACGCACTCCCAGGACACTCCAAACTCACTGCTCTGGACCTTTTGCCTCTGGACTGGACTCTGCTAGCTCCACCACAGACAAGCCAGGGTTGTCCAGCTTTTCCCACGGTGATTTTTGTCAGTGAGTGACCTAGTTCCTTCTTGCCATTTTCCTTTGGTTGCCCCAACCCTTTCAATTCTCTAGACCCCAGTCATTGATGGGATGGGAATTCTTTCCCCAGGAGTCTCTTCAATTCCGTCTAAATCAGTAGGTAGTAATCTCTCTGGACAGGGATGTAGCTCAGTGGCATAGTGCCTGCCTGGCAAATGCAAGGCCCTGAGTTCAATTCCCGGTGTGGAAAGAAAAGCATAATAATTCTCTGGAAGCCAGGTGTGGTGGTGCACATCTGTGATCTCAGTACTCTGGAGACTGAAGCAGGAGGATCACAAGTTTGAGCCCAGCCTGGGCAACTTAGTGACTTAGCAAGGACTTGTTTCAAAATACAAAAGGGGCTAGGGATCCACACAGAGGTCCTGCATTCAATGCCCACCACCACACACACATACACACATACACCCTATGGAAGTTAGGAAGGAGGAGAAAAAGAGACCCTTGAATCCCAGATCTAGCTCAGCCAAGACACCTTGTTTTATAAAATACCAAAAATTCTTTATCCTCTATAGGAAAAGGGTGATGTCAATGTTTGGGGATGAGAAAAAATAAGAAAGTAAAACAGATTGTCCCAGACAGAGCCTGATAGCTTTTTATTAAACTCAGTGGGGAAAAAAAAAAACTGTAGGCCAAACCTAGAGAGACAAGACAGGCAAGTATGATGAGGAGTGATAAAGACCATGAAGTGGGGGTGGGAGTCTGTGGAAACACAGCATGGGGTGTCAGGTAAAAAGGCCGAAGACCAGACCAGGCCACAACAAGCCTTTATTAGGGGAATAGATCTGCCGGGCTGTCTCTGAACAAAGGAGAGACAAAAGCAATATGGCCGGGGCAGGGAGAGTCTTTTATAGAGACTGGGGTAGGGTTTGTAGGGGCTGAGGCAGGGTTGAGTGAGGTAGTGACTCGGGAATGGAGGAGCCGGTGACATCATTAGGTGGTAGGAGGTGAGCGAGTATTAGGTTACTCTCTAGGCGGGAACAGGGGCATGCTGGGAAGAAGGGTTTATTTGGTGGGAGCAGACATCTTGGCGTGACGTCACACAGGGGAGGGGGCAAGGCACCATAGGAAGAGGGCAGCTACTATACACCACTGAGGTAGTGGGAGACCTATCATGGGGGAGCAGTCTTGGAAAACAGAAAGTGATGTGTAAGCTGAGAGCCACCCCAAGTGTGCAGGCAAGAGTGGGGCACAAATGAAAACTCAGGGATGAAAGGAAGCAGGACACATGTTCTGGAAATGAATGTAGGGTTGCTCTAGGGGAGCTAGTAAACAAATGGATAGGAAGTGGATGAAGTAAACAAATGGAGAGGAAGTGTAGGAGAGCAATTGGGAGTGGTAGGGACTGTGGCTAAATGGGGAGCAGCTGCCCTGTAGTTTCCTGCAGTGGCTGTGCCTGTCTTGCCCCTCCTGTGGCCCCTTGGCACAATGCAAGCTCAGTGAGTACCTGTTTAATTGGCAACTGAACACTGGACATTCTACAGCAGCGCTTCTCATAAGCAGATCTGGAAGGAGCATGTGGCGAGTGGGTGCGAGGGACAGGCAGAGTTACAGTGAAGCCCAGATTTGTCGGTCTCATCATTTGGAGTCCAGAGCACCAAAATCTTGATTTAGCCTTGGGAAAGTCAGAATGTGGCTAATGGCAAAAAAGCTCTCAAGAACCAGGTCACATCAGCGCCTATGCAGCCTGTTATAGTCCTCAGACATCTGGCTGGAGAAATCTACAGTGAGCCCCATCCTCCTCTCCTTTAACTTACACAAATTTATCTACATGCACTTGGTTGGGCATCTTTCAGGACTGCTGACTGCACTGAATGTTTCTTTTTTTTTTTTTTTTTTGGTACCGGGGATCGAACTCGGGTCCTTGCACTTGTGCAGCAGGCAGCAAAACCACTGAGCTAAATCCCTGGCCCATGCACTGAATGTTTAATGGCAAATGGACACAATCAATCCTGAACCAGAGTATGCATTTATACAGTGCCTCTTGTGTACCAGACACTGTTCTGGACACTGTGCACGTATGAACTCATACGATATTCACAACAATCCTGTAAGGTGGGCTCTGATTATGCCTCTCTTACAGGAGAGGAGATGAAGATGGAAAGACTTACTGATGCCTCCCCTTCCAGCCAGGCTCCCAAAGCTAAGAGGCAGCTCCAAGAGTCACATGCAGGTAGCTGGCTCCTACAATGGGCTGCTGCCTGTTTGAATGCTGGAAAACACCTATTAAAGAATGTGACTGACTCTAAGCATTTCCCGGCCTCCATAAGAGCAGCAGCCAAGTGTGTTGTGTACTCGGGATTTCCAAAGTGATTCTGAATGCACTTATCTCCTGCATTTGCTACCTCTCCATTATCATGATGCAGAAGGCTGACAAGCAGCTGTGTGTGCAGACTGAGCCTCCCCAGCTCATTCTCTGCATTTGAGGCCTTCAAAGCCATAAGGCTGGCCTCTATCTAATGTGCAGCTGAGTATTTAACCCAGCAACTACTTAGCCAGTGTTTACCCCACACCCAGGGTGTAGAGAACAGGGAAGGGAGGCACACATAGAATGGAAACCCAGCAGAACCAAGTAAGTGGTACAGAGACAGGCTGGAAAGGTGGCCTTCACTGGGAGTCAGATAGGCAGGATTTATTCCAGTAGGCTTTCAGATAGCTCTGTCCCTGCTGAACTGCCAGACAGTGTTGTGATGCCCACCCACACACACACACACACACACACACACACACACACACACACTCCCAAGACACCAGTATCTACCAGTTTAGATCACGGTCTGCACCTTGCGCATAGTGAGAGTGAATGTTTAAGCAAATAATCCAGAGCACCACCAAGGCATGGCTGGGTGTTTTTCCCGAATTTCTCATCCTGATTCTCATTTACTTTTCCACTTTTCCTAGAGGCGATGGTACAGAGCAAAGCTAGCAGCTCTTCCTTAGTAGAACAATCTCAGAACCCCAGCACTGCCCAGCTCTAGGGGCACCATATACATGAGGCTGCATGTGGTGCCCCGGAGCTGAGCAGGGCACTGCCTGGGTCTGAGGGAGAAGTCTCCACAGGCTGCTGAAAGGGAAGAGCAGTAACTGCCAACAAAGCACCTTGCCCACCTGAGCTAACCCAGCCCGTCTTAACGGGAAGTTAAGGGCTCCAGGGGCTGCTTCCACCTCAATCAATTCCGCCTGGGGCCCACTGCTTCTCCGTCTTTCTGTGACTGTGCTCACTCTTCGTCTTTCTGCTGCTGAAATTCACCCTCCTGTTTGACACGAATGCGACACCATTTAAAAAGATTCAGTTAGAACTCATACTGGGATAGTGACAGAGGAAACAGAGGGAAAACAGGACAGAAGATACCAAAAAGATTATTGCAAACCTTACCCATCTCCTCTTTCCACATGTTCTTTGAGGAGGAGGGGCAGCACTGGGGACCAAACTGGGGCCTTCAAACTGAGCCACTTCCCAATCCTTTTGTATTTTTGGAGACAGGGTCTCGTTAACTTCCCAGATGGCCTTGAACTTATGATCCTCCTGCCTCAGCCTCCCAAGCAGCAGGACTACAGGCGTGTACCTCCGCACCTGGCTCCATGTATTCAATGTTCATATTAATACCGTGCGACACTATTAGCAGGGGCCTTGCTTTACAAATGAGAAAACGAAAGGACAGTGTTAAGTCACTTACCTAAGTGCTCACAGCCGGCGGTGGCCCCTGGACTGGGCTTTGGGCCCCTGCTCTCAGGGCTGCAGCAGGCTGAGTGTGGGAAGGGTGGGAGTCTGTTGGAAGGTCAAGGTGGCGGGGTGGATCTGGCCTGGGTTGGGTGTGGAGAGGTGGGCAGAGGAGGGCGACTGTGGGCAGCCAGCAGAGGCTCCCTGAGATACCACCCTCCCCTCTCCTAGCCGAGCGGCTCACCGTAGTGGGGAAGATTTCCTTCAACCCCAAGGATGTGCTGGGACGCGGGGCAGGTGGCACTTTCGTTTTCCGGTGAGTGCAGCCTTTCTGGCCGCTACCCCTTGGAGAGGATTCTCCAGATCCCGTGCACATCTGTTCCACCTCTCCCTTTATCTGCCCTCTCTGAACCCGTCCTCCCTGGCACCTCTCAGGGGACAGTTTGAGGGGCGGGCAGTGGCTGTCAAGCGGCTCCTCAGGGAGTGCTTTGGCCTGGTTCGGCGGGAGGTGCAGCTACTGCAGGAGTCTGACCGGCACCCCAACGTACTCCGCTACTTCTGCACCGAGCGGGGCCCCCAATTCCACTACATCGCCCTGGAGCTCTGCCAGGCCTCCTTGCAGGAGGTGAGTTGGGAGCTCAGGGAGGCAGGGAGGCCCTGGGCTGCAGGCTGACACTTTGCCTTCGCTGCTGCTCAGTATGTGGAGAACCTTGACCCGGACCGCTGGGGTTTGGATCCCAAGATGGTGCTGCAGCAGCTGACATCCGGCCTGGCCCACCTGCACTCCTTACACATAGGTACCTAGTGGCCCGGCCTCCTGTCCTGTCCTCACCCCTGCCTCCCCATCAGCAGTCAGCTCCCTCTGCCCCTCTCCAACAGTGCACCGCGACCTGAAGCCAGGCAACATTCTCATCGCTGGGCCAGACAGCCAGGGCCGTGGCAGGGTGGTCCTCTCAGACTTTGGCCTCTGCAAGAAGCTGCCTGCCGGCCGCTGCAGCTTCAGCCTCCACTCGGGCATCCCGGGCACCGAAGGCTGGATGGCGCCTGAGCTCCTGCAACTCCATCCCCTAGACAGCCCTGTGAGTCTGCCCATGCACCCGAGGCCCTGGCCACCTCCTTGTCCCAGTCCCTTCCCGATGCAGCTGCACATCTCTAGCTGCCTGGGGGAGCCATTCCCACAAGCCTGCATCTCTTCAACTGGAGAGAGGGCGTCATCTATCCCTTCCGATCCAGAGCAGTGGCTCTCACTTGGGTACCGTTTTCCTACCCAGGGGACACTAGGCAATGTCTGGAGGCATCTTTGGTGTCTTGAGTGTCTCTGGTCTCTAGCAGGTGGACAGCAGGCATGCAGCTACAGTGCCCGGGACAGTTATCTGGCCCCTAAGTCAGAAGGGCCAAAGAAACCCTAAACTAGAACTCAGTCCTCACTGTGACTTATAGCCACTGGGGAACTCAAAAGAAAGCAAACCAAAAATGCCAGGTCAACGTGGTGGCTCTTACCCAAGGTGGAGCTGGGTCAGGGTGGAGAACCACGGATATGGGTTTCTAGAGAGCATCAGCTAAAATGAGTAATGTAGTGGAAGTGGAGCATCTGACCCTCTTGGACACTTGGGTTTGGGACCCCATGATTGTAGACTTTATGGTCCTAGTGTATGGTGCAAGTCGAGGTCACCAGCATAGGTGACAGCAGCACAAAAGGGAGTCACCAGGCAGAGCCACTCCCACTCCTAAAGTCAAAAGCAAGCTCCAAGTGGTGGCTTGGAGACTCGAGGACCCAAGGACTAAATGCAGGGCTGCCAGGGCCCACACAGTTGACTATTCTAATTAGCAAACAGTGGGCGATTCCCACATAAAAATCTGAATTCCTGGATTTTCTTGGAGAAATCAGCTCTGTCATCCTGGCAGAGTCCCCTGGTGCCAACCACCTGGAGCTAAGCATCAGTAGTCCTCACCCACTGCCTTGTGCCCAGCCGGCTTCATTCAGTTATGCCACCTGCGTGCTCTCCAGGAGCAGCTGGGACCCAAACCAGAACCTCAGCAGGTGCAAAGGTGGAGTGAAAAGCATGGCACAGTCGGGGTGGGATCGAGAGCCAAGAGATGATACCCAGGAAGAGACCGAGTTCTAGGCTGAACCAGCCCCAGGCTGCCTCATCGGCCCGGGAGCATTGTGCCAAACCACCTTCCTCTTCCTTACCCCGGTCGCCGCCCCAGACCAGTGCTGTGGACATTTTCTCTGCGGGCTGTGTGTTCTATTATGTGCTGTCGAGCGGCGGCCACCCCTTCGGGGAGAGTCTCTATCGCCAGGCCAACATCCTCGAAGGCACTCCCTGTCTGGCCCATCTGGAGGAAGAGGCCCATGGTGAGACTTGGACCCCAGGGAGGGAGGGAGGGAGGTGTGAGGCCAGGCAGGACTGAACCATCGCTCCCCTTCTGAACCTCCAGACAAGGTGGTGGCCCGGGACCTGGTGGAAGCCATGCTGAGCCCGCTGCCACAGGCCCGCCCCTCCGCCTGCCAGGTGTTGGCCCACCCCCTCTTCTGGAGCAGGGCCAAGCAGCTCCAGTTCTTCCAGGTCAGTGGGAAATCGCAAGAATGATCCCCAAAAACCCAAGCTTAGGTCTGAGCAACAAGGAGGCAGTCGGCGTGGCTGGGGGAACACAGGCGTGACTACCTGGTCCCGGCAGCCTGGCTCCCTACCTAAGCCAGGCGAGTCTGACTCATCTGCATGTTGGCACTCTGGGGTCCACACATTTCCAGCTCTCCTGGCCCCAGCTCCCTCCCGTATGGGAGGACACCTGCTCCTTCCTCTCAAGTTGCGGCTCATGCCGGGCCTGTGCCCCACACTCCATCCCAGTTGTTGCCTCTGGGAGTGCGTCCCCTCTGCTGATGGAGGAGCAGTGGCTGCCTCTTGCGGGGGTCGTGACTATCACACAGGCCCAGCAGAGAAGTCACACATCCACGAGGCTTCTGGTGCATCTGACCCCCAAGCCACACCATACACTGCTGGTCTTGAGGCTTAGGAGCCCTGTGCGGTCCTAGGATGTCAGCGACTGGCTGGAGAAGGAGTCTGAGCAGGGTCCCCTGGTGATGGCTCTGGAGGCGGAAGGCCGCAAGGTGGTCCGGGACAACTGGCACCAGCACATCTCCATGCCACTGCAGACAGGTACAGGCCACTTGGTGGGCCAGGGGGCTGAGGGGAGCTCCGAAGGGACAGCTCTGCAGCCCACCTCTCTGCCCACAGATCTGAGAAGGTTCCGGTCATACAGGGGGACTTCGGTGAGGGACCTGCTCCGTGCCATGCGGAATAAGGTGTGTTCCAGGGTCTAGGTGGGGCTGCACTGGGAGCCCGGCCACAGCTGAGACTGGCCGCCCGCTCTCCCCACTCCCAGAAGCACCACTACAGAGAGCTTCCAGCCGAGCTGCGGCAGGCGCTAGGCCATGTTCCGGACAGCTTCGTCCAGTACTTCACGTGTCGCTTCCCGCGGCTGCTCCTCCACACTCATCGCACCATGAGGAGCTGCGCCTCCGAGAGCCTCTTCCTGCCCTACTACCCGCCAGCCTGTGAGCCCAGGGGGCTCTGGCGGGGAGCTGAGGCCACCAGAGGCCTCCACTCCAGCCAGCCCAGAAGCTGGGCCTATGGCTGAGGCTGGCCTGGCGTAAGGAAGACCGGCAGAGGCCTGGCGGGCTGTGGCTGCAGCCCCAGCACCCTCGGGGACACAAGAAGAAAAAGAAGATTCACATATGTTTAATGTGCATAAAGCTAAGGAAAGGACTGTCCTGGAGTCAACAGAAATGCTCTGTACAATTCATGCGGTGGGCTGAAGGGAAGGGGCAGAGGCTGCAGAACCCACACCCGAACATGTACAAAAATAACTTAGCAGCCCCACCGCAAGCTGACACGGCTCCCTGCCCAGCCCCAGGGCCGGGGGGCAGCACACGGCAACAGCAGGCCTCAGGGCCCACCAGTGCAGGCCTGGTGCTGGTGAAGAGGGGCAGCAGTCCACAGGGAGGGAAGGAGGCTAGGAAGAGGCCTTGAGACGGTTGCAGGCCGAGCGCGAGCTCAACAGCTTGTCCACCATGGTGCGGGCGTAGCGCAGCCGGCTGGCCAGCTCCCTGCAGCAGCCGTACTCCTCCAGGAGGCTCAGGCGGTACGTGCGAAAGTCCCGCTTCTCATCGATGTAGGTCACGGCTGCCATCAGTGGGCACAGGATGAGCTTGGTGTGGTCCTGGGAGGGAAGGGGGCACTGAAGGTCCTGGCTGCTCCGCCTGTGGGACTCCCGGGGAGGAGGAAAGCCTGATAGGTGGAGGGGGGCCGCCCACCTCACTTCCCCCCAGGCCTGCCGCCAAGGACAGGCTGCACCTCCGAGCCCGGCCCGGCCCTGAGCCGCCCAGGCACCTGGAAGAAGTTGATCTGCACAGTGCCGTTGCTGAGGTGCAGGACGATGGCGCTGCGCGTGCGGAACCAGGTGCGCAGGTAGGGCAGCCGGGCCAGCTCATCGCCTTCCCGGGGTGTGATGTTGGCGCCCGCCTTCAGCAAGTGCTCGCTCATGTAGTTGCGGAAATATTTGAGGAGGGTGATCTGGGAGGGCACGGGGAGGGTTCCGGGCTCAGAGCCTGTCGGGTCCGCCCGCAGCGGCAGCCCACCTGGTGGCGGTACTCACCTTCTTCATCAAGGAGTTGGGGTGGGAACTCACGGCGAGGTAGGACTCGGCACCATCCCGCTCTATGTACTGCAGGCTGTCCCCGTCGTTGTAGAGGATGAGGCGTGTGGAGTCGTTGAAGAGCACCCCCACGCTGTTGTCACAAAGCTGATACCCTAAGAGGCAAGGAGGGAGACTCGGAAAGGAGAAGTGGTGCACTGGGGGTTAGAAGAGGGGGACCCCCGTGGGGCTAAGAGTATGTCGAGAACAGGACCCAGGAGCCACAAAGGGCGGGATCCCGTAGCGACTAAGGGGCAGTCCCGTGGCCACCCCGAGCATCCCCCGCCTCGGGAAGGCCCCTCCCTACCTAGGCCGTACTTGTCCGAGTAGTCCACCCACTTGCTGACCCAGAAGATGGGAATGCAGGCAGGATCCTCAGCCTCCTCTGCCACAGAAACAAAAACTGGCGTCAGGCCCAGCTTTTCCCCTATGGCCCGCTCAAATGGGCCACACCAGGGAAGCTTGCTGGGCACTGCAGGGGCTGTCAGAAGGCCTGGGCCGCACAGGAAGTACAGCAGGGCCTCAGTCCCCAATAAGCCAACAGGCATCAGCCGACACCGAAGCAGAAAGTTACAGCACAGCACACTAAATTCCCTTCACTCCTTCCAGGCTCTGTCAGAGGTACAGTGGGGACAAAACCCCAGCCTTCACGGAGCTTGTAGTCCAACTGTAGGAACAGAGACTAATCAAATTAAGTATGCTCAAAACCTCTGAGTTCCTTCTATCACAGTAAGGATTGGATTAACTAGTTTTCCAGTTTGGAGGATTAAGAAACTGTGAGTAAACAGAGAATTCAGACACGTCCAAATGTCATGTTCAGTGCCTGCAACAAAACCATTATTTCAAATAAACTAAGCAAAGAAAGAAAATGTGGACCACGTTGAGTGAGAAGTATTACAGAGAACTAACTACAAAGCAGGCAAGGGGGTGGGAAGTGCCAGCGGAGGGTGCCATGGAGCACCCATGGAGGTGACGCTGGAACAGGCACTTGAAAGGGCCAAGTGCAAGCCAGGCAGGTGTCCGGGGAAGTGCATTCCCAGGGGGCCAGAGCAGAAGGCGGGCTGGGTCTCAAGGAAGTGACAGGAATTCACTGAGCAGAAAGGGTGTACCATGCAGATATACAGAGGTAGCCTGCCAGGGTGCCAGAAGGTGAAGTACTCATTGAGCAGCAAGAGAGGGACAGGCTGGAGCCACACCACGGAGGCACATGGTGTCGGGCTGACTCAGCTGGATTCTCATCTACGGAAATGGGGAAGCAGAGGCGTGATGGGAAAGGGCCTGGGTCAGTAACCACTCTGTTCGCCTTCTCCAGATGCCCCCAGCCCTGCAGTACTCACCCTGTCTCACCAGGCCCCGCTCTGCAGGCTTGGAGGCATTGACACTGTGCAGCTGCTGCAGCATGTCACTAAGCTGGCACTCGACAGCCTCACTGGTCTCCCGAACCACTGGTTCTTCTTTTTCCCGGGGACGCTCAGGCAGAGGGTTCTCCATGCCTAGAAAGGTGACATGGTCATCAGCTAGGCACAAAAATGGGGGACTGAGAAGGGGCACAGGATGCCCTGCCACAGGTGGCACTCTTCTCAGGAAAAGCGCTTTTAGTTATCATTGCTTTAGGGAAACTGAGCCGGTGCCAGGGTATTAATGCAGCAGCTGCCCTGCTCATGTGACAGACATGCGGTGCTCACCGTGAGGCTAGAGCTTCAGATGCTCAGGCCTCTGACCCACAGCAAGGCCTCGAAGGACAACACTGGTCACTCAGGCAGGCAGCTTGAAGGCGTCAGCAGCTCAGAGCTACCCTGCTCCAAGCAAAGAATTAAAAGCATTTTCAGCATGCAGGAAAACGAGAAGGCAAGTAAACTACAGTCCGCCAGCAGGATGCATTCAGTAGGCCTTAAAGGAAAGTAGAGATTTTCCCACCCTAAAATCGACTTTATAATACTTACATATAACCAAATAATCCAAACAGAAGTACACTGAAATTTTAACATGTATTGTATTTGGGTGATAGAAGAATGGATGACTTTTATTTTCTTTTTGCTTAATTATTTAATTTTCCCCCTAGCAACATGTGGTAATTGTCCTATGTAATATGGAAATTTTCTTAAGTTTTCAATTTAACCAAAAAAACCTATGTTAATGACAAAAGCTAAATGTGAAATAATAAGTTATTTGAGAGTTCATTTAAAACTTCAGCAAAAAAGGAAAGGGGGTAAAGTACATAAAAACAAGTCTGACCAAATTCAACAACCACTGAAAATGGAAGAAGAACATGTGAGGATGTGTAATACAGTTTGCTCTACCTTTGGGTAAGCTTAAAATTTTCTACAACAAATATTTTTAAAAAATCTATTAATTTAAAATTAAATCCAAAAGAAAAAAAGAAAGCAATCCTTGAAATAATGGTATTATAGCCCAAAGAATAAAATGATATCCATGAGTCTATTACTGACATGATTAGCCAAAATAAATGAATGGGAGAGAAGAGATAGCTCTTCATTAAAGAATTCCAATTACTAAAAGGTCGGAGTGGAGAAAGAAGAAAAATGACCATCACATTTCATACCATAGAATAAGCAGGCAGGAGGCCTTGGGTTTGATCCTCAGCACCACAAAAAAAGGAGAAAAAAGAAAAAAAGCACAGTAATAATCGCTGTAACTAACATCTACCCACTGGTACTAAAGTTAGAGGGCAACAGTTTAAGAAACAGAACAGTCTCAAAGTAATTCCCTTCAAGACATCTACCAACTACACAGGGGAAATGGTAGCTTTCCAATAGAGAAATCTGTTTAAGACGGCACTGTAACCAAGTGATCAAGTTCAACATCAGCCATAAAAACAAACATGGCCCTGATGTGATACACTGAGAACATCATTACTGACTTATTCCAGCCAAAGATGCACAACTTCAGGAAGCACCAAATCCAAACTGAAGGACATTCTAGAAAGTAACTCACCAGTGGTCTTTAAAGCATCCAGGTCATGACAGACAGCAAAGACTAAGGCACTGACTATCACAGGCTGGAGGCTATGGAGTTCTATTCACTAAATGCCACGTGGGGTGTGGAATCAGATCTGGACACAAAACAAGGGGCACTAATGGCAAACACTGCTAGGTTCAGATACAGGCTGGGGTTCGTCTGAGTGTTCCTTAGTTTTGATAACTGTTCTACTACGGTTAAGCAAGATGCTGAAGATCATTGGCTGAAGATCCACGAAAGGGGTATGGGAACTCTTTGCTCTATTTTGTTTCCAACTTGTCTGTATAAGCCTACAATTATTCCATAACAAAGACCTCAAGTAAACAAGTGAAGCCTAAAAATTGATTAATTGAAACAAATGAACTTAAGTTGTATACTAAATTGGTGGTATATCCACACAGAAAAATAATTTCAAACTACATTAAAAAAAATATATCCTGGGCCAGAGATGTAGCTCAGTGGCACAGTGCCTGCCTAGCAAGCTCGAGGCCCTAAGTTCCATACCTGGTACCACCCCCTCCCACCGCCAAAAAACAAAAAACACTATATCCTTTAAACTTTAAAACTATATCCTTTACAACTATCCTATAAAAATATATTTTAAGGGGCCGGGGATTTAGCTCAGTGGTTCTGCTGCCTGCCTCGCAAGTGCAAAGTCCTGAATTCGATTCCTGGTACAAAAAAAAAAAAAAAATATATATATATATATATACATATATATATACACACATATATATATATTAAGGACAAAGAAAGTAAAACGTCATTTAGTAACAGCAACTAGGTTGTATATGTTGAAAAAATTTAAATATATTTAATGTAAGGAAACAAAATTTTCAATTTAAGAGAAAAGAAATATAAAGCCAGGCATGGTGGCATACATCTGCAATCCCAGCACTTAGAGGAGACTAAAGCAGGAGGATCACAAGGTCAAGGCAAGCCTGGTTGGTGGATGGGGGATATTTTTATAAGTATAAAATCAAAGAAGTAAAACTTTGTTAATATTATGCCTGAATGGGACACTTAAAGAAAAGCAGAAACTATACAGTGGGAGAAAAGAATGCTATAAGACAATACTGGATCAATGTTAAATGTCCTGAACCTGATAATGTGTTTGCCATGTACTGTGCTTATGTAAAAGAATCTTTGCTTTTAGGAAATACACACTGAAGTATTGAGAATAAAGGACAAGATTAAGAATGAATGACAAGGGCCAGGGATGTAGCTCAGCAGCATCTGTCTATTCCACATTTTCATAAGCTTGGACTAACACTACAATAAAATAATAAGAACAGTGTGAATCAGAAATATAAACATAAGGTTTCCATACAAATATGTATTTGCTAGTTCTGTCCTCTGAAGAGAACTAGAAACCTAAGCAGTAGCAAGTGGTTTAAGAAGAAAATGTTCATCTTTTCAAAGAGATGTGTACTGAAGTGAATGAGGGCAAAACGACGGAGTGCTGGTCTTACATTTCGAAGAACAACACAGAGCAAATGAAGCAAATGTGTAAAATCTTGGTAACTGTTTGTGGGCATTTGAGGGAGACACTGCATTATAAGGGGTGATCAAAAATACAATGTTTAGGGCTGGGGATTTAGCTCAGTGGTTCCACCACCTGCCTCGCAAGGGCAAGGTCACAAGTTCAATCTCTGGTACCCAAAAAAAAAAGTTTAAATTAAAAAACTTATTAGAGGGCTGGGGATTTAGCTCAGTGGTTTCATCACCTGCTGTGCAAGCGTAAGAACCCGAGTTCCATTGCTGGTACCAAAAAAAAAACTTACTAGAGCAAAAGACACATAGCCAAGAACGAGTAGTCACTGTGTTCAAAGCAGAGAGGGATTATTTGAGGGGGATAAATGACAATGTGTCTTGTACTTCAATAAAATTTTTAATAGTCACAATATCCTTTGATCACCCTTGGTATGTTCTATGTGTACCATGAAATTTTTCCTACTCTATTTTTTTTTTTTTTTTGGTACTGGGACCAACTCAAGACCTTGCCCTTGCGAGGCAGTTTCCTACTCTCTGAATGAACCACTCAAGAATGACATTTAGATCACTTTCTCAGGTTTGGCATTCTACTTTCTTCTTAGACCCAATGGGCCGATCCAGCTATGGTAAAATCTGTCTTTCCTGACATGGCCCAGGGTCAGAAGAGGGCAGGGACAGGGATTCAAGGACAGAGAACCGTCCTACTCTACAGCACGCTCTGGAGGCCAGGGAGTGAGCCTCGCACGCACCCCCCTCCAGCCTGGGCCCTGTGGGCTGGAGACCATTTTACCTTTATTGAGGACCGTGAGAGGCTTGCGGCTGCTGGGGTCCAGGCTGCTGGGGGCTATGGAAAACCTTGGGGGAATGGTGAGGCAGGTGATGGGGAGGCGAGCTGGGATGTAGCCAGAAGTGAAGAACTCATCGTGGAGTAGCTCGTGAATGGTTGGGCGGGCAGTGGGGTCCGTCTGAAGCATCTTCTGGATAAGGGAGGCTGCCACGGGGTTGATGTGCTGCAGCAGAGGGAAAACCTTAAGCAGGATGTGGCAGGGAGCCCGAGTACAGCACTGCCACAAAGGGCCTGCAGCTTCCCAGGCTCAAACACGTCATGGGTATAAGAATGCCTGGTTCTCCACAACTGGTTTTACCTGCCTAAGTTGTGACAATGATCATTTGGCCTTCCTCTTGAGATGGCAGATTAACTTAGGATTATCTTTTCCCCTGAATTTGCACACTTACTTTCTCACTGCTAAAGGATCACTTGAGAACATAGGCCTTGAGACCCTCGGCTGTGTTTAAATCCCAGCTCTGCCCCTTAACGCCAGCCATGAAACATAAGCCAGGCTTTCTAGGGCCTTTGTCTCTGCATCTATAAAATGAGGACACACCACAGCATGGAGTGCCACTAGGAAGATTCACTGGGACAGCACCTAGTACAGGCCAGAGGCATTGTAACCACCTCGCATTAACTCTGCACTTACTATGTGCCAGAAAGTATTCTAAGTACTTCCTGTATATTAACTCATTGGCCCTCACAAAACTATCTAAGAGCAGAGATCTCTATCATCCTTCAGGTATGGATGAGAAAACCGAGGCCATGTCTGAGAACACATACAGTAATCACACCCACCCAACCCAGCTGGCTTGAGCCATTCCATGCTGACAGTGAAATGACCCTTTGTGACGTATTTCCTCCAAATGTCCTTGCAGAGATGTGGCTCTGGGCTTCATATGAGTCAAGGACACCAAACTGGAAAGTGGATGTGTGCCAGGCTTCTATATAAAGAGGCTGCTCCTTTAGATGCATTTAGGCCCGTGATTATAAAAATGAACCCCAATGAACGCTGTTTGTCACTGGGAAGCCCTTGGTTTCACATCAGTTCACAATTCTGCAAGCACCCACTGTATTCGAGGCACTCTGAATCTACAAACGCTCTCCCTCTAGAAAGCTTACATATATATATGCATCGAGTTCTGTAGGCAATTTCAGACAGACTCTTAAAGCTCTTATCTATCCCTAGGGCTGAGGCTGATCTATCTGTGTTCAGGATACAGCTTTTGGGGAATAGTAAAATGAAATAATTTAAATGTAAAGGGCTATTAGTCACCTTGGGGATACTGTACTCATTCTTCTTGATGCGGAGGTAGGTCTCTTTTAGGCAGGAGGTCTCAAAAGGTGGTTTGCCCACTAGCAGGGTATACCTGTAAGCAAAGGTAGAATTTGGCTCAAGGGTCCCAGGGAAAACCCAGAGCAGGAAGAATTGCCTGGGGGACAAAAGGGGGAACAGACATCCTTTGGACAAGCAGTAACTCGCAGGCCCCGGAGGACAATCTCCAAGTATGCTTAGCAGCCCCTGAACTCCGGCCTGGGATGAACTCTCAGGTAAATGCAGGTGAGGAAACCTGGATTTCAGTGGGCCAGGGAATGGCTCTAGCCTTCAGTGATCAAGGACTCTGTGCAAAGGCCGCAGAGGCCTCTGCCCCCTTCTCTAGACCCACAGCCCCTGCTGCAGGATCCTACAAGATACACCCAAGTGACAAGGAATAATATGGAAGTTAGGCTTTGTTTGGGGACAACAGTTCCTCTAGGACAGACTTTCCATGAGGCAGAAAGAGCCGCAATATAAGGTTGGTCAGGTGAGATGTCTCAAAAAGGCCCCTCTGCGGCCACAAAGGTTGTGAGATAACTCCCAACTTACATGATGCAGCCAATGGACCACACGTCCACCTCAAAACTGTGCCCTTTCTTGCTCAGCACCTCGGGAGCTATGTAATTAGGAGTCCCACACAGGGTCTTCTTCCGTTCTCCGTCATACTCCACTTTGGTTGCCAGTCCAAAATCCCCTGGGACAGAGGGAGGAAGAGGGGATGCTCAAATGCCAGCCTCCACCATCTATTAGTGCAGAGAGCTAGCTCAAGCTTGACCTTCAAGCACCAGTGTCATTTGCTCCCACAGTCCCTGCTCCATGTGTGCAGCAAGGTTTGCCCAGAATCCTCCTGCTGCCTGGCCCCGGGAATGGGTCTCCCTCTGACCTTCCTCACCCCTCCCTGTGGAAAGCAGGGCTATGCTTCCAAAAGAGAACTGACAGGGCAAGCCAACCTCAAATGTCTTGGGGATCAAGCAAATCAACTTCAAGACTGCTACTTAGCAAGTTTGCAAAAGTGATAGTGGGTGCCATGGCAAATCAGAGGGGAGTCTAAAGGCGACCGCTGCTTTTCAGCTCAGCAAGGAGATGCCTCAAGAGAACGCTGCCCGTGTTGTTCAAGTTCTACATTGTTAAAGAAGCTCCAAATGCAAATTGCTATGTCAAGTCTTCCAACTTTTAAAAACATGAAAACTGGCTGGAGGTATAGCTCCATGGTAGAGTGCTTGCCTAGCATTCCTGACCCCACCCCCCAACTAATTCAAATTCTTTTTAAAAACACTGTTTTGGTAACAAGACTAATGCATCTGAAGGAGAGATACTGGGCTGGGATTTAGCTCAGTGGCATTGCGGCTGCCTTGCAAGCTCAATATCCTGAGTTCGATCCCCGGTACCCAAAAAAAAAGGAAGGAAAGAGAGAGAGAGAGAGACAAAGATAGATAGATACTGGCTTGTAGGCTCTTGCTTTAATTTTCTGGACTAAAGAGACTTCTACATTAAGGTTTTTTTTTTAATTGGTACCAGGGATCAAACTCGGATCCTTGTGCTTGCAAGGCAAGCAGCGGAACCACTGAGCTACATCCCCAGCACTAAAGAGAGTTCTAAAAGGAAACAGTCTAGACTTTCCCCTATCCTCTCCCTCCCTCCCTACCCTTCTGGTTTCCTTTCTTCCTCATTCCCACCTCTGGAACTGTGATGAGAGCACCCCTGCAGGCCCAGCATCTCACCTATTTTCACCTCCAGATCCTCGTTCAGAAAGAGGTTGCCCAGCTTGAGGTCCCTGTGGATAACCCGGTTTCGGTGCAGGTACTGGCAACCCAGGACGATCTGCCGCAGGTAATAGCGGGCCTCAGGCTCCGTCAGGGCTTTCCTCCTCTTGTGTAGCTCCAGGAGTGACTAGGAGAGGAGGGCAAAGTGGGGGCAGTATGAGGCCCAAGGAGACGGTTACTGGATGAAGGCAGCCCAGAGCTAGAAACAGGCCCCTGGGATGAAGGAGTCTTGACAGCGCCTCCCCCACCAATTCCTTCTTCAGGACCCTGCCTGAACACCGGTCACAATCGCTCACCACACACCTCTCCTGCTGGCTCCCTCCATTACCTAGGGGCCCTCTCTCGCAGCTCCAAGTACCCAGTCTCCCCTCCCCGTGCTTCCCCCCAGCAGATCCCCGTCCAGATCCTTCTTCCCCGGAAGCTCCGAGGTCGGGTCCCACCAACCACGCCCTGACCCACCCTACTCCGGAAACTCTTTGAGTTCGCACCCCCCCCCCCGCCCCGCTCCCGGGGACTCCTCCTTTAGCCACTCCAGGGCTCTAGCGTCCACCGCCCCCCGCCCCACCCCCAGCACACACACCTCGCGTCCTGGATCCGCCTTCCCTAGCAGCTTCCCCACCCTCCGGTTGCACTTACCCGGAACCCACTTCCCTAGCAGCTCGGGGCGCCACGCACTTCTCACCAGAGGCCTTTCCCATCCTAGCTAGCGGCTCCCCGCACCACTTTCAGCACCTCCAAGTCCCAGGCGCCCCCTTCGGGGAACTCCCTCCCATAGCTCCGGGTCCGGGCGCTCCAAAGGGGCACCCAGGCACCTCCAGGCCCCCAGCAGCGACACTTACCCGCCGGCGGCAGAGCTCTAAGACCACGAATACGAAGTCGTTGTCTTCGAAAAAACCGTGGAAGCCTACGACGTGCTGGTGGGCGAGACTGCGGTGAATGGAGATCTCCATGGACATCTTCTCCTTCTGGTGCGGCTTGAGCAGCAGAGACTTAGGCACAATCTTGCCGGCGAATACTTCTTTAGTGTCTGCGTCCGAGATCTCGAAGCACTTGGCAAAGCCGCCTTTGCCCAAAAAGCGGCCCCGCACATAGCGCCGCCGGCTGCGTGGGTCCACTAGGACCTCCGGTATCTCCTTCGCCGGCGGGGCAGCCGCTGGGGCTCCGGGAGCCGCAACTCCAGGGACTCCGGCCTTTCCCGGGTCAGCCGGTGCCCGCGCCAGTTTCCCCGCTGCCGCCGCCGCACTCATGTTCCCAGCGTTGCTCCACAGGCCACGCAGGGTCGGTGCTGAGCTTTGCACTGCTCCGCTCCTCCCCGAATTCAAACGCGGCGCTGGGAACGTTACAAATGCCTGCGCGCCACTGATTGGCCGCAGGGATTTAAAATCCAAACCCGCCCGCCGCGCGGCACTATGGGAGTGCCCCGCTGGCCGCAGCCTTTAAACTCTCACCCGGCTCAGCAGAAAACTTGACTGCCCACGATGTGCGGACAGTAGGCCCGTGGGATATCCTGGGAAACCCTACCCGGCGTGGGGGAGCCTTAACCCAGTCCGAGGGAGCGGTAATTTGTCCGGGGCGCCCCGTGTGCAGCGGCCGGAAAAGCTCCCGCACGCAGTTCACACGCGCCCCTCCTGGAAGCCTTCCTAACGCCTTCCTCCACCCACTTTGCCTTCTAGAATATAAATGCTAAGCCTAGGGAGCTGGCAGCGCCAACAGATAGGTAAGTTTAGGAGACCGCCTGCCTCCGCTGTAATCGGCTGTCTGCCAAACCACCCGAACTGAAACCTAAGCAAAAGCGCGGTGCTGGGCCGGGATTTAGCTCAGCGGCGCCGCGCCTGCCTGGAAAAAACAAAAAAACCCAACCCCCCCCCAACTGGGATGCTTGTCAGGCAAATGCACCTTCACGGCGAGTCTTCCAGCTCCTCACTCTGAAATCATAGCTGCTTCTGACCCAGAGACCAGAGGCATCTCCATCACCTGGAGCTTGTTAGAAAGGCAAAGGCCCTATCTACCCCAGCCTTGCCGGGTCAGATTCGCCTTTACAAATAAATACTTGAAAAAATGTTCAGCATCATTGGTCATTCAAGAGATGCAAGTTAACACAACGCTGAGATTCCACCTCACCCCAGAGAGAATGGCTATCATGCAGAAATCAACCAATAACAAATGCTGGCGGGACTGTGGGGAGAAAGGAACCCTGCTCCACTATTGGTGGGACTGCAGACTGGTGCAACCACTGGAAATCAGTATGGAGATACCTCAAAGAACTAGGACTGGAGGTCTCATTTGACCCAGCTATTCCCCTGCTGGGTATCTTCCCCAAAGAATTAACATCATCATTAACATCATAGTGTTATATGCACACCCATGTTCATAGCGGCACAGTTTATAATAGCTAAAGCTTGGAAACAGCCCAAGTGCCCATCAACTGGTGATGGGATAAAGAAGATGTGGATTTTTTATACAATGGAGTACTACTCAGCCATAAAGAAGGATAAACCAGAGACATTTATAGCTAAATGGATGCACATTGAGACCATATTTTTAAGTGAAATAAATAGGACACACATGTGTAAATATCGAAGTTTCTCTGGTATGAGAAACTAAGGACCACAATAAATAACGTGAAATAGGAAGAAAAAGTTCAAATGGGAATGGGCACTGGGGAGATGGGAGGGGGAAAGAAAGGGAAAAAGGAAAAAAAAAACCTGAGAAAAGAATTCGTCTTTAAACAAGACTGCCCAGGTGATTCCCACACACTGGAGTCTGAGAAGCGCCAGGACCCCACCCCAGCGCCGCCGCAGGCAAAAACCTAGCTGGGCTTGCTCCCTGCTCTATCTCGGTAGGTGCCTAAGTAGTGAACACTGATTTCTTGATCAGAGGCGAGGAAGGACGCCTAGCAAACTGCCAGGCCATGGCCAAACTTGTCCTGCAGGGGTGTTCTGTTTGACCGCTCACTTTCTAAACTTTGCACTTACAGCATTTAAAAAGAGAACACTGGGCAGGGGATTTAGCTCAGTGGCAGCAAAAACAAAAAACACCCATAAAAATTCCAATTTGTAGTTTTTTCTGAAAAAAAAAAAAAAATCAGAAGATCTAGCACCTCCAGGCCCGCACTCTCTTTCCGTTGGCCATCCTTCCCCTACTCCTCTGCCCACGTGCCTGTCTGGCTTCTGTGGACACTGCAGCACCAACCTCAGAATGGCAAAGCACCCAAACTGGAAGCTCTTCCTCTGAGTTCCCACTTGCCCTGTGAAGTCCTTGATAGAGCAAAAGCCAATCATACTGTAAAACTCTCACCTGCTTCCCAGCTACGACGCAAGACAAGGATGAGAATGATGCTAGCTTTTCGGCCCATGTCCCAGGGTCAAAGCAAAATGCCTGGTACAAAGGGACATTACTAAGTACTGAATTAAAAGCTTTGGGGTTTTTTTTTCAATTGAAGGTTTTTTCCGGGGATTTAGCTCAGTGATTCCTGTGCCTGCCTTGCAAGCGCAAGGTCCCAAGTTCGATCCCTGATACCAAAAAATAAATAAATAAATTGAAGGGTTATTTTTAATCCCCATAGTGTGTGTGGTTCTTTACTTGAACTTTTAATTGAAATTTTGTATAGTTATAGAGAAAATGTTCCTATCTTAATTACACAGCTCAGTAAATTTTCACAAAATGAACACAGCCTGTATAATACAGCACCCAGACTAAGAAGATGCCACCAACCTCAGAAGTTGACCTAGTGCCCCATGTTGGGTCCCAAATACCTCCTCCCAAGTAGATGCTTCCCTGGGAGAGGTACAGGGCCTGACCTGTATTATGCTCATAGCTGTGATTTATTACCACAAAGGGCTGTGAAGCAAAACCAGCAGAGAAACAAGGTGCATGGGGCAAAGTCCAGAGGAAACAGGTGCACACTTTCCAGAGTGCCCTCATAGTGAGTCACACAGGACCAAAAGCTCCTCAGCAATGAACTGTGACACCCCGGGGGAAATACTGTGTACCAGGGAAGCTCATTAGAGGGAGACAAAAAAATCAATCCATCACATCATCCCCTCCCTGACACAGTACAACTCCAGACTCCCAAAGCAAAAGCAGGTGTGCAGCATAAACCACGGTGTTTGCACAAACAGCCCAGGGACACTGTGCCACTCTTGTGACTTGGGGGATGGTGAGAAGCTTCCTGACATCCAAGCTCCCAGATCTAGCTAAGGGCTGAGCCTGCAGACAGGTCTTTCTATGGAAAACAATCTCAGGCCTGTTTTATTTTCTCCGTTTTGAACAGCCTGCCTCTTGGCTGAAGTGCCTTTCAGTAAAATTACTATCAGTAGGATTCCTGCAAGAAGGATACCTTTAAAAAAGAGACCAGCTTGCCTATGGACCTCAGGCCTTGATTTATAGCCAGTTAAAATCAATCCCATGAATAATAAAAGTCTATCTTAGCCAGGTTCCTCAAGTTTCTGTAAGAACCACTTTACCTGACCTGAGGTCCCAATTCAGGCACCACAAACACTGGCCAGGAAAGTGGAAGCTGACCTTAAAGCCTTCCAGGGCTGAGACGTCACACACGGTCAGGGCCAAGTACAGAAGCGCAATCCCAGAGGGCATAGGCAGTGCTCCTGGAAACAGAACTGACAATGTTAGTGTGCCCCAAACAGGATACCTATTAGGCAGAACAAGCTGACAATGGCCTCCAGTGCCCCTAGGGTTTCCAGTCCCATCTGAAAAGTTCCTGGAGTCCTTGCTTTCCGGGGGACTAAAGATGGAGTGAATTTCAAATGGTCTCACTTGTTCATGACTGCAGTTTACCCATCTCACAAGTATGAATGAAATTTAAAGGTGTTCTCTATGGAAAGTGCTGGAGAAGGCCCGGCTGGTTCGGTTGTCAGAAGTCTGAACTCAAAGCACTCACAACATGTGGAAAAGCAGCCTCTAAGGTTTCCCTCAAGAGCAGGGCAACCTGGGCCAGGGATTTAGCTCAGTGGTTCCACCACCTGCCTCACGGGCACAAGGTCCTGAGTTCGATACCTGGTACCAAAAAAAAACAGGGCAACTTTTCCAGGAAGAGGTCTTAAGAACAAAAGCTTGGGGCCAAGTGTGGTGCCACATGCCTGTGATTCCAGGACTGGAGAGGCTGAGCCAGGAGAATCACCAAAAGTTTGAGGCCAGCCTGGGCTACATAGTGAGACCCTGTCTCAAAAAAACAAGTTTCTCCAAGGCCAGGCTTTAATTTTTCTGCAATGTTACAGAATCAGTGTGCCCATTCAGTAACCCTAACTTTACATTTTTCAGTGATCTCTTAGGCCTATCATTTGGGTTATGTGCAAGTGTACAAAAGCTTTTTTTGCAGGTAAACATTTGTATACACTTTACCCAGAAAGATGCATTCCAGAACTGGTAATGTGTAACAGGCTCAACTGTGTCCATCTAAAATTTTTACGTTGAAGGGCAGAACACTGGTACCTCAGAATATGACTATGACTGGCTTTATGTGTTTACTGGAGATAGGTTAAAGAGGTAACTAAGTTAAAATGGCAAGGACCCTAACTCAGTATGACTGGTCCTTATTTTTTAAAAAAGAGAGATTAGGACATGGACACACAGAGGGACATGTGAATGCAAGGCAGGAAGGCAGCTGTCTGCAAGCCAAGGAAGGACAGAGGACTCAGCAGAGGCCAAACTGGTCAACACCTTGCTCTTGGACTTTTTTTTTCTTTTTTTTTCTCAGTACCAGGGATCAAACTCAGGGCTTTGCACTTACGAGGCAGGCACAGAGCCGCTGAGCAAAGTCCCCAGCCCTACTCTTGGACGTCTAACCTGCAGAGAGGTTAGGAGAAAATTAGTTTCTATTATTTAAGCAACTCAGTTCATAGTATTTTGTTATGGCATCCCTAGCAAACTAATAAAGGACAAAATCCTGAGTTTTCAAAAATTTCAAAACAGGCTTCCATATGCTTCTACCCCTTTTGTCCTGATTATTTAGCCAGTGAGCAGCCTACAAGAGACCAATCCCCTTCTGGGACAGATACATTCTAATTCAACACCTCATCTTACTACATGTGTGTACTGGGAGAAAACAAAGTAAGGGCGAGTCAGCTTGTTAGGCTATGACTGCAAAGTGCAACTAACCCAGAACACTGCATATGACAAATCAGCAGCAAGGGACACCACCAGAGAGGGTCCAGAGTCTCATCTGTCTAAAGCAGGGCGGGAGGGAGGGGGTCACGGTCCTGGTGGTGTGTCCTCCCTCAACTGGCAGCTTTTGGCAGGGGTCACGAGTAAGGGATGCAATTAGCCTCTGTATTACGGATAAAGAGCTGGTGGCAGCTTGATTTTAGGAGGTTCCACCAAAGAATAAGCCCTTTCCCGTGAGCATCTATGTGAGCCAGAAGGTCCCGCCAGCATCCAGGGTGCTTTTATGGTTGAGAGCCACAAAGGGGTCCCTGCCCTCCAAGTCCCAGCCTGGGTCTTGCTCCTCAGGCCAGGGTCTGCTAACTGGAAGCAGCTGAGTGGCTGGTACCGCATGCTCACAGCACACAGTAATGGGTTTCAGCCTGGGGTCAGGGCCAGGCAATTAGGATCTGTGACTCTGGGATTCTAGACAACCAGTGCTTTTCTTGGGCTGCAGCAAAGCCATTCTGCAAAGGCAGACAGCTGTGGGCAAGTCCAAGTGACAAGCAAGGCTTCATCTTCATCCTGTCAGTCTCAGAGAGTTCCAAATTGGCCCACTCAAAAATATCAGACTAGAAAATTAGCACCATTGACGGGTCAGCAGTTTGATTTCAACAAGGGCTCATCAGCAACATAACCTCTTTTTCAGATTCTAAATGTGTACTTCCAGCCAGAGTTTGCCTCTCTTTTCATGTGGTACATCTTTCCAGAGACTCCAGCAGGCACAAATCATAACAAGTATCATCAGTTACAGAGACTTGCTGGGCATGGCAGTGTACATCTGTGACCCCAGCACTCAGGAAGCTGAGGCAGGAGGATCTCCATGAGTTCAAGGGCAGCTTGGACTAGTGAGACCCTGACTCAGGAAAAAAAAAAGAGAGAGAGAGGGAGAGACTTGTCCTGATTCCCATGCACAATGAATTTAAATTCCAAACCACCTGCATATGGCAAAAAG